GTGTAATGGTTAGCAAGGATGTCTTGCTAAAACGATTACGATTGAGTAGTGAGTTCGATCCTCACTGGGTGCCCCATAATTTCGGCTTTGTGCCACATCTAAGCTACGCTTTGGAAATCGCTACTAGTTTGGGCACCTCGATGTGATGTAATGGTTAGCAAGCCTGTCTTGCTAGAACGATTACGGATGAGTGGTGAGTTTGATCCTCACTGGGTGGCCCATACTTTCGGCCTTGTGCCACATCCGAGCTACGCTCGGAAAATCGATATGCAGAAGAATTTAAAATTTCTAGTTTACAACTGAACATCATCGATCCCATGACTGGGTGTGACTGTAAAGTTGCCCCTCGATTGAGCACCTGTCTTGTCCCTCCACATTCCTGTGTAGAAAACCGGAGCTAGTCGTTAAGACTTAGCGAGTCTTGTGTAAAATAGATGTCGTCGAGCCTATCTCGCTTTAAAAGATCACAAACGATGTCCTCCAACCTGAAGTTCCGCCTTGTTCCCGGGCACTTGACTCCATCGGGGGAGCTCTTGGCCGTTGACGTGAGCGTAGGAAGCCCTTCACCCAACGATGTAGCGTCATCACTGCACTGGTTGCAGCTATGGAGCCCAGTCTATCGCACTATGCTAGATGGCTGGTGACCTTACAAGAAGGTTCATCAACCCTTTGACAGGTGGTATTTTTAATCCTACTGGATGCTTAGCTACCCACCTGACTAGAATTCAGAGCAACAAGTTTCGTCACAGATAACACTGCCATGCGGCAGGTAATGGGGTACGTGACAACAGTATCACAAGTAGAGCGATGTGTTCAGTAGGATACACCAGCGGGACCGACTAATCGGCAGGTGTGTCCAGCACAACACATCGGGGAGAGTAATTAGGTGTGAGGTTTGTCCTATATGACTTTCTCATCGAGCGCGTCCAGAAATATGCATGTTTATTAGACAATTGCGACAAAAAAAAGTTTGTTTAAATACGAGTTGTTTTATTTATTTTCACTGAAAAACTTTCATTTTTATAATAAAAAATTCAGCCTGAAAACCTGAAATGAATAATTAACGTTATATACATTATTTACATGGTGACTATTATCTACATCCTTGTTGTTATTACATCGTTTCAGCAGTTACGATCTCTGGCCTTCTTCAGTTGTCCTTCGATCCGTGTAACTCGCTTATTGCTTGCCTTTATCTCTGAACTAGAAAAAAAAAAACCAACAAAACGAATCACCTTTGGGTTGCGAAACGAGAACAATATACACCCGTAGATTGAATAAAGGGTTCTGTTCGAAATTCTCTGTAGTTTACCCCGATCGACACACACCTGATGAAGGCCGAGAAGCACAGCGTCCGAAACGCGGTGATAATAATACAAAAGCTTTTAGATATTTGTTAGACTGTATATAATCTAAATAACAAAGACAAATGTCACAGACAAACTATCACTTGTAATCTGTAAAAAGTGTATACACAAAACACACACACACACACACACACACACACACACACATATATATATATATATATATATATATATATATATATATATATATATAAGCCAATACTCAACTCTGAATATTGCCACAGTGTGCTGACCGTGTTTTGAAAATAAAACATGTTAACTCTAGAAAAATCAATAAAAGATCCATACTTTCAGTTAAAATTAAGAATAAAATCATCCTTGATAATGGCTAAATAAATAGCCGAAATCGCTTGGGCATACAGAACCTTCGGACAATTTCTATATAATTTATGTCCAGCGAAGAAAACAATTACAAAACAACAAAAATAAAATAAAAAAAAAACTTGGTATCTTCTCAGTCGTTTTTAACGAAACTTGTATAAAAAAGGGATGGCTGCTCAAATACACAGTTATATATATATATATATATATATATATATATATATATATATATATATATATATCAGAATGATTACATAGCGTTTTACTACACAAAAGACATAAATTTCAAATTAAACAGTAAGTTTTATAAGATAAAAAATAATTATAAATATTTTCTCCTTTAAAGAAGCGTTATTTTGGGAAAAATAAAATATAAAATTTGTGTTTGATCGGCTGGGGAGACATTTTTATACATAGACAAGTGTGAATCATTAAATCCTGAGCTTAAAATCTAGTTGAATTCTGCTCTGACAAGTTTCGTGCTTTATAATTAATTCCCACTGGATTAAGTGCATTGACAAGGAAAGCGATTATGATGAAAAATAAATGTCCGTTGCTTAAAATAAATAGCTTTCATGCATCGTAAAGTCTACGAACTTTTTCATGCATAAATGATTTTACGTGTTTTTTTTTTTGTTTTTTTTTTTTAATTAAAGAGACTTGTCTAAGTGATTACACTTTTTATTTCTATCCAAATTATTTGCTATATTTCTTTGTTAACCGCCGCTTCGCTTCCTTCAACATAATAAAACAAGTAAATAAAATTATGGAAGACATCAATACATTTTTTTGTAATTACGCGATAATACGCTCCAACGATAGTTTTTATTTTAATTGACGGTTGCAAGTCCTACAATGTACATAATAGAAGCGTCCCGCCTTCTTTAAATTGTAAAGCAACGTTACCCCAACTTTTTGCTGCAAGGACAATTTTTACATGAACCGAGGTGTCGGTCACAAAACACAACAAATAATAAAGTGTATATTATATAATTTCATTATTAATTTAATTACATTTGTACTGTAAATGTGACTCAAGTTAACATCATCAGTGGGAGCCTTGAGCTTGTTTTCCTGCAACGAGTTCGTATAATCTTCGCCTAATTTGTGGATACAGACTCGAAGACACAACCCCTGTGCTGATCTGTTTCGAAAGTTCAAAATTGGCGGCATCGAGAATTTTTTAAAACAATCTTAATTGCGATAGGCTGCCCATATCATTAGAATGAACGACAATCGATAACCAGAAGTCCTTATGTACAATTAGCTACAGAGTGGCAAATGAAACGTAGGCATACAATGACACAGGTACAATGATAAGCTAAAGAGCAATCCTGAAGCTGCAAGGGTACCAATTAAGACCTTTTAATCATTTTCTTTTGGATGAAGAAAAGAAGCGTTTGTTGTTAAAATGGAATTAAATCATTTAAACTTTTAACATTATAACCCTAACTCCTCCAAAATATTAGGGATGGAAGTGCAAGGACAAAACAAAGTGCATTAAAACCTGGTCACGTAATCCACAAGCTCGTGCCGAAGATGGCAGAACTGGAGTGTCATGTTCATCAGAAGCATCTATTCACTAACCTAGCTGCTGAACACGCATGGTTGAAACTGACGGGAGAGTTCACCTGAAGAATTACAGTCATAGTATTGAAAAATGAAAGCTTTGTGTAGCGATTTCAAAATATCTTTTATTATAATCTCTTATAATAAAAATATAATAATAATATATTGCTCTACTTTTTATTGAGCACTTTTTAAAAAGTAAAGGCTACGAACAGTGTACTTATACTCCATCTGTTCTTTCTCTCATTTGTATATATATATATAACTAAATTTGTTGCATTGGTGCAACGACGCATGCGCACGAACGCGGGATGTTTAGAAATGTGAATTTTTATTTTTAAGTTTTTTCAATTCCCAGTATTCCCCTATAGTGTGCATGTGTAGTCGCGCTAACGTAATAAATTTAGTCCCATAAAGCCCTAAAGAACGAAACGCGTCACACGTAAACTTTTTTCCTATTTGTAGTACATTTTTCCATCAATATTGTTCTTGATATATAAACATTTATACACACACGCACACACACACACACACACTCCTATATACTTGATATATAAACATTTATACACACACACACACACACACATATATATATATATATATATATATATATATATATATATATATGTGTGTGTGTGTCATATAAAAACCCACTGGCAGGAACTCTTGCAACCTTCACTTTAAGAGTGAATGACCACTCAGATACAAAATAGTGATAAAAAATAACTTCCTAAAAAAAGCACACCAGAATTCATCCTCTCGTCGACTCTTCCTTAAAGAACTCAACAATGCAAAACAGGCACTAGTTAACAATGGCTCCTCTAACCAACTTATAGGCCACTAAATTAGACTATTTCTTCCCAAAGTAAATAACAATGTTGGTGAACACAAAGTTATAAATAACATAAATATTTTCTACAAAAGCCAAATACACGTCAATTAGAAAAAAGATGAATCTTCACTTAGAAATATCAAAAAAATATACACTCCCCCAATTGACCCGAACAAAAATCAAATTAATTATCTACTACAAAAAGTTGAAAAACAGCTTACCTTATCCTCAAAAATAACAACACGCCAGCAAATTCAAAATTACAACAAACGAACATTATCTGTGAGTTCAAATGCCCCTTAAGGAACTGTGTTCCTGATCAAATTCATAAATAAATACATCTCTCACACGACTATATCGTAGTAGCATGTCTGTCGTCTTTAATGAAACATGAATAAACGAAAGATTGCTGCCAAAATAAATAATATATATATATGTATGTATTATTATTAGTAGTAATCTTATAAGTATAAGAAATTCTACTCGTTCCGAAAACCTTCGATGTCTTGATTTGCAAATAATTAAACTAATACCAAAGGGGGAAAAAAGGTATAAAAAAAAAGGAAAAAACCATGTACATCAGCCGAAAATAATCGTCTACAATGCAAGTCCAAAACCCAAAGAAAAAAAAACCGATACGAGTAGACAAAATAACTAAATAAAGTGCTCAATACAGTAAGTAGAGCAGACCTAGTTAAACCAGACAAACCTACCAGGGTTTCACATAAGCGGATCGTCAATGAAGACTGGCTAAACAAGTAAAAAAAAAAGAACGGAATACTTATAGTCAATAAACAAAAAAAAACCTAACCATGTGACCAAATGAAAAAAAATAAACAACGTTGTTTTTTATTTGGTCACGTGGTTAGGTTTTTTTGTTTATTGACTATAAGTATTCCGGTCTTTCTTACCTTTTTAGCCAGCCTTCTCTGAGAGAGAGAGAGAGAGAGAGAGAGAGAGAGAGAGATTTATCAGACTGATAATGAAATTTGAGGAATAAAAGACAACAAAATGATAACAATAGTGGCAATAAGATTGCTGATATTATATATATATATATATATATATATATATATATATATATATATATATATATATATATATATATATATATATATATATAGTAGGGCTTATTTACTAAATTGAAGCATGATGATAAAAAAATTTAAAGTTGAAAATTTCATTAACAGACGTGTTAAATCTACATATTATAAAAAGCATATATGGGTCATCTTATATATATATATATATATATATATATATATATATATATATATATATATATATATATATATATACAACCACTAATATCTATATATAATCTGCAGGTGGTTATTATATCACTTTACCAACTGTTATGTTTGCAGCGTTGTTATATTTTATGAATGGCACAATTGAAGCCCTTGTTTAGATGTAAAAATTTTAATTATGCAATATTAAATATATATTTGAATTGTTTGATGTCAAGATCTTTCATTTTTATGCCTGTTAAAAATTTTACCTGACATTTAAATACTTGAACACTAACCTTCTACTTGTGCTCTGATATACTGCGATGCGTTGACCTACTGAATTCTTCAGTACTTTTTAATCACAGTGTTATCCTTAATTATGACTGACGGCGATCCTGCTTAATTTGTATTTTCTGTTCTTCCATACTGATTTTACACTATTTCGTAGGTGATCTCTTATCTGGAATGTCACACGCAATACTAATTCGCGTATGTTAATCAATTCCTCGAATCATATTCTAGATGCTCCTCAATCTGTGGCCTTTTTAAACATTATGTTGGATGGGAAATAAGGTTGTAGGAGTATAATAATATTTAGTTGTTGTTGCATAGTAAACATTGTATAGTAAGGTGGTATGAGTATAACTTTGTTAACGGTAATAGTAGTTTCAGCTAGTAAAGTTGTGTG